TGTCTGTCTGTCTGTGACCAGCCTCGATATATTACCCAGCAGATTCCAGCCCATTTCACCACCTCGGCACCAAATTGCAATCGAAGACGTGTTCACAACAGTATTATTTTGCCCGAGCTGCCCCAACTGCTACCTTTTCAATCCGTGCTCGGTGCGTCGAGATAGTGCAGCGTCGGTACCCAACTTGAAGCAGGGAAGTTTCTGGCCCCATGCAACACCGAGAGGAGGTGTCGTTTGATTTTGAACCAAGATAGATAGCCTCGCACACCACACACCACACACACAGAGCCAGACATGGACAAACAGGGATAGGGAGACACAGACCACAGCGAGGGCGAGACGGCGGGAGAAGGGTGTGCCATACACTGCTGCTGTTAGCTATCGGCGGAGGAAGCGAGAGGAGAGATCAACATTTGATTGCAGCAGCAGCAGCAGCAGCAGCGGCCTCTCTCTCTCTCTTTCCGCGGAGAGGGGCACGTGACACCAACAACACACAGACGGTGCTACGCACCACCATTGGTGCGACACGTACTGCTGTACGCCTCTCTACACTTTTGTGCGCGAAGGCCTAGTGTGCGACCAGTGCCTCCCGTGCTAGCCTGGTTACCCATAACACGCTTGAACGCTTTTGAGATTTCTTGATCAAAGCTCGAACCAACAAGCGAAGCACAACAGCAGAGACATTTTTAGCTGCTACGTAGCCCTATTTTATAATATGCCACACCCCTCCCTACCCCCCGGAGTACACCTCCCTCCCCCCCTGTTGTTTGTCATCGGGATTGGGTTTTCGTCGCTTGGCAACAAAGTTGTAAAACAAGCCCCCCCCTCGGTGTTTGCCATCGGGATTGGGTTTTCGTCGCTTGGCAACGACGGTGTAAAAAAGCCAATTCACTGCGTTTACTCAGTGAAGGCCACCCGACTCTCGAAATATGGGTTCGAGTCCGTGTGGAGGTGTCTTTTTTTCCAAGACATTTTCTTTTTTCGGAGTCCATCAGCAGCAACTGCGTGGGGCCTCAAAGAACAGCGCCTGCGAGGCGACCCTGAAGGCGATGCTCAAGGCGGCGCGGAAGAAGCGCAGCATCGCGAGGTGAAGTGCACTGGACGTTCTTCGAGGGCTATGCACGGCAGCTCGAGAAGAAGAGCCGCGAGGGGGATCAGGCGAGTTTCTACAGGCACCTGAAGATGATCGACGTCGATGGTAAGAGGTCGTTCACCTCTCAGAACATCAAGGACGAGGACGGCAAGGTCCTTCGGGACCCCACGTTTATTCGCCAACGGTGGGCACAGTGGTTCCACAAGCTTCTCAACACCAAGTCGCCGACCATCGACCTGCATGCGGCTGACAAGGTCAAGCGGTGGCCCACGTGCGTGCCACTCGACGACATCCCATCTCTACTAAAGGTTGAGGAAGCGGTACAGGAAATGGCCAACAGAAAGGCCGTCGGGCCGGACGACCTACCGGCTGAGCTGATCAAGCTTTTCCTGGACGGAGATCAAGGTCTCCTCCGCGAATTCCACGCCATTGTCGTGGACGTGTGGCAGACTGGGGACGTACCACAGCAGTGGAAGGATGCCACCATCAAAGTGCTGTTCAAGAAGGGGGACACGATGGAGTGCGGCAACTACCGGGGCATCTCTCTCGTCGCACACGCCGGCAAGGTGCTGCTTAAGGTCGTCGCTACA